CCCCCCCCCCCCCCCCTGTGTGTGTAATTAAGTTCTCTCCTGAAAATATATATGAACAATTTACAACTGATTAATTGAACTCTGTGTTATGAGCCTCTTAATATGCTCCAAAATAAATCTGAGAAATCTTATTTATTTGTCTTTGTTGTGATATAGAACTTTTAACAGCAAGAAGCAACTGTAAACATGCTTTAAACTGGAGAAAATGATAGTTTATGTATTTTGTAATATAAAATATTAGAATTATATTAATGTTGAACCTGGCAGATATGAGTTGGAGAGGGTCCAAATATATGTGCTGTTACATAATGTACATAAAGTAATTAATTACTTCCTAAATAAGTATGTTTACAGTTTCTATCTGAAATCAAAGAGGATCTGCAGAATATAGTTCATTGGTAGAACTGAAAAGAAAACAACATAGGGAGGTAATCTTCATTTTTACTATTGACCTTTAAAACCTCTCTTTTTAATTCTACCAATGAGTATGGGAATACACCCTCACCAAAGGGAAATAACTCTGCAGTGCTGTCTGAAAATCAAGATCATGTTATCCAGTATGGTGGAAAAATAAGATGTGAAGTGATTTTTTTTATAAACCAATATACCATTTCTTGTTTACAATAAGATTTATTTTCAAAAACAAACAATGATTGGTGAAATATGCCTGTATACCGTGAAACCAGCTTTATTTGACATCCTGTGGAATCCAACAAATTTACCTTATGGTCAAAAATTTCAGATTAATGATAATGAAAAGTCTTTGGTGTAGCATTTGCACTTTTTACAAAATATAGCAAATTTATTTCAATGTAAAACTAACTTAACAAATATGTTGATGGTGAAAAATAACTGGACCAAGAAACCAAGGTCATTTCAGCATCCGAAGCAAGCAACCAGATCGAATACTCATGAGTTCAGTTGGTCTTGCATTCATACTTTTGTAGGAACAGAGCTAAACACAAATATTTTAGATTGATAAGGTAAGTTGATCGACTGTACTGCCCAGGATATATCTTCGGTGTAAGTTTAGCAGGTGTAGGATCAAACGTTTTGAGATGCAACACAAAATAGAGAGCTAAACATGAAAATATTGATGAGGAAACTGACGGCAGAGTTGGTGTAAGTTTATATGCTGAGGACTTTTTGAGATACAACACATAACACACAGCTAAACACTTAACATTGATGAGGATGCTTTAACAGCTGCTGGACCAGGAAATGTAGGTCACATTTAGTATCTGACCAGGAAATGTAGGTCACATTCAGTATCCAACCAGGAAATGTAGGTCACATTTAGTACCTGTATCTGCTGCATGAATTGCAATGAAGAAGACAAGATTTGTATCGGTCCTATAACATTTGTAAAAAAAACGAGCTAAACGCAAGCACAGGAAAAGTGATGCTTTGGTATGTCCCGTCTTTGTAAAATCCAATTGAATTGAACATCTTCATATTGAATTGAACCACAGACTTAGATAACTATATCTAATTCCGTGATTGAACCTACAAATACAATATATCCTCAATTAATTGTACCTATCTTCAATTTTTTGAAGATAGGTACGATTAATTGAACAGATGTTAATTTGAGATAGATTTAATTCGGCATGTACTTATCTTCAATTGAGTTGATCTATCTTCGATTGAATTGTACCTATCTTCAATTATTTCGAAATCCTCGAGTTCTGTTCTCAGTGTAATCGTATCTTTTCAATATGTCATGACAAAATAATTGAAGGTTTCTTTTACGCGACACCTTGCAAATGATACTGTTGTCTTGGATAAAGGTCAAAAGAATCACTGGACTCGAAAATCAAACAGTTGTATAATATAAAGTTAAAAGTCCATTGTTATTTAAATTTGCCCTATAATTATAATAAAGTTCTTCATTCTGCCAAAGCTGATCTTATTCTGATCTATTGATATTGATGTTGTTGGAATGTATATCAGAACCCTATTTAAATAAAATGCTTCGTTGGAAAATCTAAATAATCATTATTAGTATATTTATAATATTTACGACATGTTACGAAATATAGAATAAATATCCACCAGGTGCTGTAACGTATTTAACTATTATATCAGTTTATAATCATAGGAATCATGTTAAATCTAGGCCTGAATGGCTAGATTGATTATAATTTTATTTATTAAATCATCTTGTTTTATTATGTATCTGGAATATTCCATTTCATTAAACAATTTCTAACATATCGATTTATGCATGTTTGAACATGATTATTCTAGAAAACTCGAATTGTAAGCAAGAGTTACTTCCCTTGAACGGCGAGGGCGCTGCTCATACACACCGGTACAATGGCGGCGGTAAGTAAACTCGATTGGAAGGGTGACGAGAAATTATATATTTTGAATTCATTGGACATTTTAATGATACGTGTGCGGTTGATAACTGTAGGTTTTATTTTTCTTAGGAAGAAGGATCACTTGAATTCGTATGCAATTCAAAATATATGGCTTTAAACACATGTAATCAAACACACGTGCGCTATGTTGTCACGCAGTTGTAAACATTGTCATGGCAGGCATCAACAAGTATCATCGCGATCGGTTGGCCAGTTTCTAGGGCTGTCACAACACGCCTGAATTGTTGATTCACGATATATTGCAAAACACTTATTTCAGAAAGGATTTTCACGATACGTATCCTGATGTAAATTGACAGAGGGAAAATGTGCTAAAATTAAAAGAATACATATAAGATAATGACAATGTCAAACACTATGTTACGTACATCAGTGTCTGTCTACAGACAGGGGTTCGTTACAAATGTCTAAACATGTGTATTAGACATTTTTAGCGAACCCTTGTGGTCTACATCTAGATATTTGAGTAGTAATACATGGTCGTGTGCGCTGTTAATCTCACGATACAGGAAACACAGTCGTCAGCAAACATGGATGGTGCTGTGTATATTGTCAACAATGTTGATGTTGTAAAGTAGGAACAGGATCGGGCCTATTGTTGTTCTTGTTTATGTTGTCAACAGTGTACATGTGGTAAGATAATATGTTGTTTTTGTCAAGATGGTCCATGACAAGGTCCAGTGTGTATCGTTTCGATTAATAGATGTAAATAAAAAATGTAAAAATATTGATGATATTGTATCAAAATATCGGAGCAGATTCCACCAATAAGAGAAAAGTAGTGTTTGCTTCTTAAAGAAGCAAACACTACTTTTCTCTTAATGGTGGAATCTGCTCAAAAAACATTTATGCAAATGAGTTACAATTTCTTGCATTTTCTTGGTGAGCGTGTGGCATTTGTTTATGTTGGTGTATAGACTCATGAGCACATGTCCAGTGTTCTCCCCAGAATGTTTTGAAAGAAGCATGGTATTTCAATATTTCTGTGAAAGCAGCACTCTAAATGTAAAATCAAAGCAGCAAGCATGGTAACTTTAGATTTACTATGAATATATAGCAGATAAGATCTAGGATAGCAGCATGGCAAGAAATTATAGGAGCATGGTGCCATGCTGCAAAAACAGCCTTGGGAGGACACTGATGTCTGAAATATATCTTCATGCAAGGTCATGATAATAAGACGTAATCATATAGATTACAAACATTTAAGATTTTCACAATCAACCAGTGATTTTGAAATTTCAAGTGATTCCCATCTGGACTTGTAATAACCTGTTTATGGTAATTTGCATAACTGTTAGAATGCGTTGTCATTTGCAATGTTAAAACGCTAAGCAGACACATAAAAATAAGCTTTAGATAAATATTGTGATATTTCATTTCTGATATATATACAATACAATAATAAAATGTCTGAATTGCGATAAGTAGGTTTTCCAATATATTTTGACAACCATGCATGCTGATTATTGGTTAACTTATGAGATGATAACCAAATCTTAAAACTAACTGTTACTATAGATAGAACAATTATTTTCACATAATGGGTAAAACTTCATACACTACATCCTAGTGTTCATTTTTCAAGATCAAAGGTCAAAGTCACTGGTAGTACTAGTTTTCAAGTATTGGTTTCTGCCCAATAACTAGTTTCTGTGAACTAATAACACTCAAATTACATACACTGATTCCTTATGGAAAGTGCTTCCTTAGGATTGCTATTAAGGTCGAAAGGTCAAGGTCACTGTGAATAGAAAATTGGTTCCTCTACGTACAAAAGCTCAGGTAGGGTTGTAACTTGACATGTTGCTCCTTATTGAAAATACATTTTCAGATTAGTAGCTATATGTCAAAGGTCAGCAGAACGTTGCTGTTATTATAAATAGAGTGTTACATTCTGTACTACACAAATAATCATGTCCTCCACCCACTTCATCTGTGAGAATCATGGGATCACTACTAATGCTCGTTAATGCTTTATCTCATTAAATTAGATTTTTGACAGGTACTTATATATTTATTCACTGAACACAAATTCCATGGACTTGTTATAAGCTTGTCTGAGAGACCACCTCCATATGTAGCCTGTAACTTAACTAGTCGGAGAGACAACCTCAATATGTAGTCTGTAACTTAACTAGTCTGAGAGACAACCTCGATATGTAGTGTCTGTAACTTAACTAGTCCGAGAGACAACCTCAATGTGTAGCCTGTAACTTAACTATTCTGAGAGACAACCTCAATATGTAGCCTGTAACTTAACTAGTCGGAGAGACCACCTTGATATGTAGCCTGTAACTTAACTAGTCGGAGAGACCACCTTGATATGTAGCCTGTAAATTAACTAGTCGGAGAGACAACCTCAATATATAGCCTGTAACTTAACTAGTCGGAGAGACCACCTCCATATGTAGCCTGTAACTTAACTAGTCTGAGAGACAACCTTGATATGTAGCCTGTAACTTAACTAGTCTGAGAGACCAGGCCATGCCCCCTCAATATGTAGCCTGTAACTTCACTTGTCTGAGAGATCACCTCAATGTGTAGCCTGTAACTTAACTAGTCTGAGAGACCTTGCCCCCTCAATAATTATCCTGTAACTTAACTAGTCTGAGAGACCAGGCCATGTCCCCTCAATATGTAGCCTGTAACTTAACTAGTCTGAGAGACCTTGCCCCCTCAATAATTATCCTGTAACTTAACTAGTCTAGAGACCAGGCCATGCCCCCTCAATATGTAGCCTGTAACTTCACTTGTCTGAGAGATCACCTCAATGTGTAGCCTGTAACTTAACTAGTCTGAGAGACCATGCCCCCTCAATAATTATCCTGTAACTTAACTAGTCTGAGAGACCTTGCCCCCTCAATATGTAGCCTGTCTCTTAACTAGTCTGAGAGACCAGGCCATGCCCCCTCAATATGTAGCCTATAACTTAACTAGTCTGAGAGACCTTGCCCCCTCAATATGTAGCCTGTAACTTAACTAGTCTGAGAGACCAGGCCATGCCCCCTCAATATGTAGCCTGTAACAGGATCCTGATCTCTGGATAGTGGTCTCCGAATACAGCTTTGACTGTAGTTATAGTTCAAAGCAACATTTATATGTGACATTTGCATGTTAGCTTTCAATTAGAAACTTTTGCATGATTTGTAAAACAGAACAAATATAGATGTAATATCTGACCATTACTTTTTTCCTTTTTTAGCCTACAGTAGAAAAAGTTCAAGAGGTACGAGAGGTGACAAGAATTGAAAGAATTGGTAAGTAAATAGCAAGATTTACCTCAAACTGTCCACACAACATGCATATGCATGTTAACCTGCTGTAAAAGGCCTCTAACTATATATAGCTAGTATACATTGTGACTCAATTGTAAGGGTGTTGACAAAAAAGCAATCTAATTATAATTCTGTTGTTAAGTTTCTCTACCTATTTTTAGACATACTGTGATCGGTTTACCTTTCGATCTTGGCTCATCAGCTGTGTCACCGTGAGCCACCAGACATTGTCAGTCATACTATAGCTAGCTGCAGGCGGGGCACATTTAATTTGGAGATGTATAATAGGGAGAGATAGTGTTTTGACTGACAATAGTGTCCAGGGCTTAAAATTTTGCATTCCAGAAATTGTAAGCCTGTAAGTTAATAACATTGACTAAAGTGTTTGATTCATGGCAGTTTGGGTTGAATGGTAATTTACTTATATCAAAGCTTTACTTTCTACACAAACAATGTGTAGGAATTAAAAGTGTCACAACTTTTCCAGACCGACTGGTCCCTTTGTGAAGCTATGTATTTTTTACCTGTACAACAATGTGACGAAATTGTATATTTTTTATGTCAGTCGACCCGGGACATTTCGCCTATTGATAGGGAGCGTATAAACACTGCATCAGATAGTTTTTTGTGTAGAAAGTAAAACTTTGATATCACATATTTTCAAACTGAGGAATCTAATTGAAGTTAATTGACTGTATCTTACAGTAAGGTATATGTACCTTGGTAATGTTAAGGAGAGAGGAGGTGGTGTGATCAGTAAATGTTTGTATCTAACTAGTTTGTTTTTCTTTTATGCATGACTGCTACTGAAATTTCTTGTTGTAATCTATAGACATAAAACATATACAAACCGTGTAAGTTTGCACAAAGCAACTCAATTACATTTTTTCAATGTTTTAAAATCCCACTCTTATCCAACAGGCTGTACATTTGTGTGGTATAGGACAGGGTTCTCCGGTTGTACCATGATTTTAATCAATACGTATACACCCACAACCTTCTATTTTGTTAATTTAAATCATATGAGTCCTATAAATAACATGACACGTGATAATGGCTTTTATGAGTCTAAATCTGAAACTAGTCTAGCATTGAGGGAAAGTTCAGAAACTCTTGGATACTAAAAAATGGCAAAGGCTTGATTTCTTTCTTTCTTGATGTCAGCAACTTGAGAGGATCTAAAGAAAAATGACTGAATTGATGAAAAATATATAAACATGTTTCTATTTCCTGTGTTGAAACCTACATTTGTATGTACATGTATGTCTCATAGACATGATTAAAAATATGTAACTTAATATGTAACTTAATATGATATTATTCTCTAGTTGATAATTACACTTATGTTTTTGTAGGAGCGCATTCCCACATTCGAGGTCTGGGTCTTGATGATGCTTTGGATGCTAGAAATGTCTCCCAGGGAATGGTGGGACAGGTGGATGCTCGCAGAGCAGCGGGAGTCATTCTGGAGATGATCAAGGTACGATTATATCTACCATTCCTTATAGGTGTCTATCCTTCCTGGAGGTAGGGTCTGCAGCATTGTACATTCATTTCCATGTATCTAGACATTAGTATGTGTATTGAGTCACAATGTGGTCAAAATTAAAATAAGAACAAGACTAAACATATTATACAACTTGCAATGAAGATGGAGAGGATATATTTATCGTACTTCCTTGTCATCTCTCTTATAACTTTATTTCTCAAAATGATGAAACTACCTGGAAAAAGTTTGCCTTTCTAGGTGTATACCTTGCATACAATAAAACACAAATGTTGCAAGATCATCTAGTAAATTTAATAAAACCGAATCCATCTGAATGATCATTTTTACATGATTTTTAGTGCGCAGAGAATCTTCATGTCTGATTGGTTGTTTAATGAGGCTCAGTGCCAACTGCTGTGTTGTTTGAAAATTAATCTGAGCTATGTTATCAATGTGTTTTTCATAGGAAGGAAAGATTGCTGGACGAGCATGTCTCATTGCCGGACATCCAGGCACAGGGAAGACTGCCATAGCCATGGGTAAGTTACAAGTCATTATTGTTCCTCTTCTACACCTCACAGTTATTGAAAGGAACAAGAACAGACAGGTAAAACATTAGATGATGGATAAGGAGAAATGCTCTCCTCACCAATTACTATCTGTAACATATTTGAATTCTCCTCACCAATTAGCCCTTTCACCACTGTAAACCTGAATAGACTCATCCAGATGAATGTATGGTAGAGTCTATTCAAGTTACCTAAGAGGTGGAAGGGTTAGTATCAGTTAGTATCTGAAACATATTTGTTATCTATGGTATTCACTACAGTATAGCTACAGTAATATCGCTGTTTTCTCACCTAGCATACATTTGGTATTTTCCTATATACAGGTAATATAAGGTGTTTGGTGTATACTAGGTGAGATTTGGTGTTTCAGTTAGGGAACAATAGAATTAATTACAGGTAAACTGTTGTAGTCTATACCATAAATTGTCTTACTATATATGTATATGAAGGAATACATGGAGAAACAGTACAGCAGTGAGCTTTGTTGTTTTAATTTTTTTGTTTATTTATGGTATTCTTTGTTAATATGTTGTTGTTTTCATGTTACACACTTAATATTCATTTTTATCCGCCTGTCCAAAATAGAGATGTACATTGTATTATGTTATCACATGGGTAGGCGGTTGGGTGTGCATGGTGTCGGTTCGATAACTCGAGTAGATTTCAACAGATTAACTTCAAACTTCAAGAGGAGGTTAATTAATTTACCTTAAAAGCTTGGGCTCAAATCAAATAACACAAAAAAAAATTCGAAATCTTTTTGAGATCAATATTCTGCAGTCAAAACTATCGCAATTTAACAAAAACTGATTTCATTTAGAAGTTTAAATTATTAATAATCCTTGTAAGGCGATGTATTACAGAATGTTTAAATAAGAACTGATATTAAGGTTAGTTAACAAAGTTTTTCTTCTGATCCAAAGCTGATTTAAAAGGGATTTAAAATGTCCTAATAATGAAATAAAAAATCGGATTTTAACCTCCCCTGCCTATATGTTATGTGTTGTTTATTTTACCGTCCCCTGCCTATATGTTATGTGTTGGTTATTTTAACCTCCCCTGCCTTTATGGTATGTGTTGTTTATTTTAGCCTCCCCTGCCTATATGGTATGTGTTGTTTATTTTACCCCCCCTGCCTATATTTTATTTGTTTTTTATTTAAACCCCCCCTGCCTTTGTTATGTGTTGTTTATTTGATCCTCCCCTGCCTATATGCTATGTGTTGTTTATTTTACCCCCCCTGCCTATATTTTATTTGTTTTTTATTTTAACCTTCCCAGCCTATATGTTATGTGTTGGTTATTTTAACCTCCCCTGCCTAAATGTTATGTGTTGTTTATATTAACCTCCCCTGCCTTTATGGTATGTGTTGTTTATTTTTACCTCCCCTGCCTTTATGGTATGTGTTGTTTATTTTTACCTCCCCTGCCTATATGCTATGTGTTGTTTATTTTAGCCTCCCCTGCCTATATGCTATGTGTTGTTTATTTTACCCTTCCCTGCCTATATGTTATGTTTTGTTTATTTTACCCTCCCCTGCCTATATGGTATGTGTTGTTTATTTTACCCTTCCCTGCCTATATGGTATGTGTTGTTTATTTTTACCTCCCCTGCCTATATGCTATGTGTTGTTTATTTTACCCCCCCTGCCTATATGTTATGTTTTGTTTATTTTACCCCCCCTGCCTATATTTTATTTGTTTTTTATTTAAACCCCCCCTGCCTTTGTTATGTGTTGTTTATTTTAACCTCCCCTGCCTATATGTTATGTGCTGTTTATTTTCAGCTATGGCCCAGGCTTTAGGAACCGACACACCTTTTACCAGTATAGCAGGCAGTGAAATATTTTCTCTGGAAATGAGCAAAACAGAAGCATTGACACAAGCATTTAGAAAGTCTATTGGCGTCCGCATAAAGTGAGTTAGAAGTGTTTTATGTGTTTTATGTTACAGAATTTCACCATCCAGCATTTCTCTTGACTAGCAATACGGTTACTGTTACGGAGAGTAGAAACAGGGAGTCTGGACACAAGTTTGTCTACTACCATGCATGATTGATGGTTTTAAAACTTGATCATTATATAAAGTTGTGCACTTGCAATTAATTATTCATTTTGACTAATTGTATAGGAGTTATGCTCCTTCCCTGATTTCTGGTTTAATTGTTTCAGGTATCTAAATTACTTTACAATTTTTGAACTTTTGTAGAATCTTGCTTCACATGGTCATAATGACAAAAAGCTTGTACATTCATCAATTTTTAGGTCACCTGAGACAAAGTCTCAAGTGACCTATTGCGATCGCCTTTTGTCCGTCGTCGTCCGTCGTCCGTCGTGCGTCCGTAAACAATTAACATTTTCGACTTCTTCTCCAAAACCCCTGAACCAATTTCAATGAAATTTTGCAGGGACCTTCCATGGACAAAGGTCAACAAAAAT